CTGCAAAAGAAAACATTATATTATATAAATATGGATCTTAATTCTATTGAGTCCTCGATATGCCATATATTCTCTATTTTCCAAAAAAAGAACGATATACGGTTATTTTTTATAAGTTAGGAACGATAGTAGTTTTGCATAGCGTCACCTAGACTTAGAGTATTGTCGGCACAGGCTGACTAATCTAGAATGTGAGGAAAGGGCCCTCTATTATCTTGTAGTTGGAGGCATGGAAGTCCCTATAAGGCCCGGCGCAAATTGAGCACAGCCCACGCACATCCCACGCGCAGCCCACGTATGGTCCAACCTAGTCCAAGTACACGTTTTTCAATACTAACGCATATTGAACACAGCCCACGCCCATGTCAAATATTGGTGTAGAATATGTTCTATCCATAAAATTAGGAAAAACACAATTTACGAGTGTGCTGATTCTGACTAAAAACCTGGACTATGCATAGGAGATTGTTTTCGCAAATACTATTCAACGAAAAGATAGACTGTTTTCAGTATATTAGTTTAAATAAAGATTTTATTTTCTAGACCTTTTAATTTTTACCTAATATCCCACTAACAATTTCTAATCTGAAACTATAAATATCTTCACAATATATTCACAAATGCTAAGGGTAAAAAATTGAAATCCTTCAACAAAAGACTATAGATATAATTTGAATAAGCTGCTTTTGCCGATTTGACTTTCTTATTACTAATTAGCATAATAAGCAGATATTTTACACGGTAAAACAATTTTAACAATTCCGTTAAAGATTAGATTTTTGTTTCATTGAAAACTGAACCTGATACTAATTTCTTGAGAACTTTTACATATGATAAGGGTAATAAATTGAAATCCTTCAACAAAAGACTATAACAGGTAGATACCCATAATTTGAATAAGCTGGCTTTGCCGATATTGACTTTCTAATTACTAATTAGCATAACAGGCAGATATTGTAACTGGCCACAATACCGTTGAATATTCCGACTTTCATTTCGCTTGTTTTGAAAACTCTATCGGATATTAATTTCTTGGAAACTTTTACAATGCTGAGGCTACTAAGTTGGAATCCTCTAACAAAATACCATACAGAGTATTGTTGAAATAAGTGAAATAACGTAATAAACAACAGGAGAGCTAAAAAATACAAAAATTCCAGATCGTCTTTTGTTTTCGAGATAAATTTAAATTTGAGAATTTTTTATTACTTTTCTACTTTCTTCATGTTCTTTTCTAAATTAATTTCAGTGTATAAAAGCCATTACAATATGAGCATCACGAAAAAGTACCGTCAAATTTTATTTTGAAGTTTTCATCTTAGGTGTTCATAAACATTTTGCTAGGAAATGAAAATTTGTTTTTTTCCTTAGTTCTCGATTTGTTATATTTCTCATTTGATTTATTAAAAAATTAATTTAAATTAATTTTTTTGTGAATAATTATAATGGCGACTTACATCCGAGTCGCTTATCACAAATAAAGAAAATATTAGTTTTGTTCTCATGTAATCTTCATTACTAGTATCATACAAGACACTGAAACTTCGAACAATTTCAATAAACTTTTCCATTTTCACTGAATAACAAAAAAATTGGTCACACAAAACAAAATAACAAGGTTAGGTAGAAACCCACGACCCACGAAACTGTGTTGCTAGCACAACTCTATCCACGCCAACCCACGCCAACCAAGTCTGGCAGTAGCCTGGCCGTGGTTTGGGTTTAATATGCGTCGCTCCGTCTAAAACCACGTTTTACAAAATAACCCACGCATGGGCTGCGTGTGGGATGTGCGTGGGCTGTGCTCAATTTGCGGCGGGCCTAAGCGACTCGAATATGCATGTTTTAATACAAAAGATGGCTTGGTTTGATTGAAAAATTAGTTTCATCAATTTCAAGATAACTATTAACTACGTGAATATTTAAATTAATTATTTATCGTTGGCTTAATGCTAATACACCGTATCTGCAAAATTTTGAAATTTCATTTTTTTGTCCAAATATGTCCCTAGCAGTGTCTTCCATCTCTCTGCAAACTCCCAGTATCGATCACTGTAGCCAACCCTACAGTTTTAACTGTAGATCTACAGTTTTTTGTAAATTCTTTCGGTTGTTTTAGTTTAGGCATCGAAATCTATAGTTTTTTTATTTAAGATACTAGCGTCATCTATTTATTTGTCCGTACTAAGTTAGCTGAATTATGTAAACCAAACTAAGAAATAAACTTTCTACGACCAGACGACCACAATAAAAGGTACTTTGCACACAAAATCAGCCATTAAAAATTGTATCGAGTTTAATGTGATGGAGGACTATCTAAAATAATCGAATAAAAATATGTACGATTTAAAAAAAATCAAGATGAAACGGAAAATCAAGAAGATTTACGAATTGAAGATGTAATAGAAACTAGTGATACTATCTGATAGCTATAATTTTCAAGGCCACAAAAATCGCTATAGTTACATTTTCTTGAAGTGTTGGATTGTAGTTTTTATATATTACCAATATTATTTTATTTAATGTATCTTTGGAGCTTTTAAATTTTTTAAAATTTAATTAAACCCTTGATAATTACATCATTTTTATTGTTTTAAATGTCTTCCCTTTACTATATTATATTTATTACTATGACTAAATAATAGAAAATAATAAAAAGATAAAGAGGTAGATTTACTGTTTTTTAATTTGATATTTACAGTTTTCTTTCAAGTATATCTACAGTTCTGCTCTGTGCTGGGGTTGGCAACTGCAACGCATTAGGGCTCTTGTTAACGATCGTCTTTTTTTTCAACGGGTAACGGGCCGATCCTAAACGGGTACCCGTGTTGACAGTTCATAATTTTCAAGTGATATGCGTCCATTGACACGTCCGTTAACAGTATGAAATCTCCGAATATCGTCAGTTTTAAAGTAATAAGTGCACGAAATACATGTTATATCATGTTGTCGTCAAAGAAAAGATTATACTAGCCTATTATGTGTATAAAAAATGCAGAAGCAACGGCAAAAGCGTAAAAGACATATATGGATACATCCTATTTTGTTACAAAGAGAAAAGTATGGTGCTTTTCATACACTTTACGAAGAATTGAAAAAACGAAACAAAATTCTTCAATTACTTACTTCCAAATAGGTCATGAAACTTTCCGCAAATTGTTAGGAATAGTACATAATAAATTGAAACGTGCTGACAGTAATATGAGGCTATCCCTTGCACCTGCTGTTCGACTAGCTGTTAACTATGTATGAATTATGCTATTGATATAACAGAATAAAAACTTTCGGTTATAAAAAAACTAAAAAAAATTACAAACTTACTAGATTTTTTATCATTTAAGAATATACATTCTATATGTAAAATAAAAATTATTGGTGAAATAACTTATTAAAATCTCCATATCAAAATCCATATTTTAGCGGCAACAAAGAAAGAAATTTATTGAAACGATGGATGCTCGTCAAACGCCGTTAACACACTTGCATAAACTAAAATGGTTCACTGAGGGCACAGTATAGTGCTTATTCTTTTTAAAATCACTATACTGTGCTGATGGTTCACAGCACCGGCCCGTCGAACGTCTTGACGAGAGGGACTGGATACGTAGACGGTGAACGTTAACCAACGGGTTGGTTGCCGTTGCGTGAACAAACATTCATAAGAACCTGAAAGACACTGAGCAACGGCAAGGCTGCCAGGTCTAGGATTTATCCCGAATCTAGGGATATTTCAGCATAAAAGGGACAAAGGGATTTTTTTGATATTTATGGTAAAATCTAGGGATTCTTGACCGGCTCAAATATTTACCTACATAGGCCTATTATAATAACATTTTCTTTAATTCAGGTATAAAACCACTTCGTATTAACAGTATTAAATAAGCGATCTTTAATTACAAATACTTAAACTACTAGTAAACTACTAAAGGATTCTATTATCAGATCTCGTTAAATGACCACGTTCTTGGAATCTTTATTTTATTGCTACCAAATAGATTTCTGCCAAAAATAGAATCCTATATATTTTCATAGAGGAGAAGCAAATTCTGGAGCAGGAATTAGGGAATTTACAGGGTTTACATAGGTTTTATAAAATAAATAATTAGGGGATTTACAGTAGGAATCGGGTGAATACCAGGATTCGTGGAATTATATAAATTAAAATGATTTGCTTCGCCATCTCAATTCTTTTCAAGTTGTATTTTGTATTAATTTTATTAAGTGAATGATACTTAATAAATATATTAAATTGAATATTCAAAGCCATAAATAAGTACGTTATTCCGTTTTTGTTAAATTTATTCAAATCATCGCTATTATACCGTTTAAAAAATGAAATATTTTTGAAATATAGGTATAAAACAACAATTTTTAGGTTGAGTTTTACCGAAAGCACAAGCTGAATATAGCCGCAAATGTCAAAAATATTTCGGCTTGGCAGTGTTGGCATGTTTTTATAATGCATATATTATATGCTTCAAATATAAAGAGATAAAGCTTTTAAAAAGTATATTTTGATTATACTATTTTATGATATTTATGATTTATATTAGTCTCTTTCGAGATTAATTGCAAAAATATGTTGTAATCTGGCAACTGCTCATTTGACGATTGCCAAATCTATCCCTAATCTACCAAAGTGTATATTGCTAAAAAAATTCTAATAATTAACTGCAATTAATCTCCAAAGAAACAAATATTTACACATGCATCTACATTATAAAAACATGCCAACACTGCTATAACCGAAATTTTTTTGTTCCACGTTTTGACATTTGTGGCTATAATCAGCTTGTACTTTCGGTTATATTCTACCTTTTTTTAATTTCCATGTTATTATATTAGGCAACCATCATACATTCTATCATTTTATTCAGAATTAGGCAACCATATATACATTTATTTCAATCTAGGGATTTCTAGGGTCATTTTAATGTTCAATTTAGGGAGGACAAAAATTTTCACCTGGCAACTCTGAGCAAACGGCCAACGGGACAGTG